GCTTTATCAGTTTAGTAGCTTTCTTTTTTGTTATCTTGGTCAACTGCAAGACCTCCCCTTGAATAGTATTGTAAGCTTTCCCCAGAGTTCTAAGTGGTTTTAACCTCTGACTTTTTCAATATACTATAACACAATGAGTCTATTGGACTAAGTGGATCCCTACCTACCTACCTACCTACCTATGAATCATATGTTTCTTCTGCTGTTACCTATGGTTATTAAAACAAGTAGCCATATACTTTTGGTGTGGAGTGTACACATATATGTGCAAATACATTTACAAATATCTGTACGTATATATGTAATGAATATTATTGGTACATAACATACAATTCTTTTATAATATTTGTTATTGTTTTTTGTTATCACCGTAGCGGTGGCAGTAATAAATTTAATAAAATTGTCTGCGTTTTTTTCTTCGACAAATAAAATCGAATGTGTATTGAGCAATTTTCGTTATAACTCATATAACCATTATTTTTAATTGAGTTTAAAAATATTTGTGCTTCTGTTATTATTTATGAACGTAATTGACAATTTTTCAATTGATATTTTTTAAATAAATAATAAATAAATAAATGCAAATAGTATTGTTAACAAACAAGTGAATAACTTTATTGAGTCTTTAAACATTGATATTTTAATTAATTAATATTTAAGTTTACAATAATAAACAACATATAATATTATACATATTTCAGATAAATTTATTTTTTATAGATAATTTTAAACAAAAAATTGTTAACATAATTAACTCGGTGTCCCTCTTTCAGGAAACACTAACACACACGCAAACAAATACAAGTCACTAAATAATTAAATACTTTTTATAAAATGAATAATAATTTTCTGAAAGACATAATATACTTAACATACTTAAAAGTAATTATTTATATGACAATATATGTAAATATTAACAAAAATATTTAAATTTAGTTTCAAATTGTACGAAGGACTTTTGCAAGAGGCCTTTGGGAGGCTTTATAAAATATTAACAAAAAATATTTTTTTTCGCAAATAATAAGAAAATACTGAATACGACCGAAACCAAAAACAAAACTATATTTATAAATATTTACGATTTCAATAAATATACGACGAAGAAGAAGCAAATTTCTTGTTTTGGCTGCAATTTCCATAAGTGCTGAGGAAGGATGCTGAATGTTGCACAAATGAAAATTGTGGGCAAAACATTAAACAAATCTGGTCAAATAATGAATTTCGATGTAAGTTTAAATTTCCAACTTTGTATAAATGTAGTGGACATTTGATTAAATAGCAATTTATATTAAAAATTTGTTTCGATTTAGTTATCCGGGAAGAAAAAAACTACTTAAAATATTATATTGATTAAACGGATAAAAGGAATGAATTGTGCGAACATATTCGTTACTGCAGAGTGCAATTATTCAGCAGCAGCATTGATAGTAATAGTTTTACCCTTTGGATCATCAAAACGATCCATGGTGTTTATGTCCATCATCCAACAGACACCAGTAAAAATAATTGCTAAAAATATGAGCACTACAAACAAACCTGATAGTATACCTGGTGTGAAGAAGCCTACACAATGCCAAGCATCACCAAACATAAAGTTTGTATCCTTTGTAGAGCCGAAGGGTGCTTGAAATTGCAATGAATTCCATATCAAAGAACCAGACGTTGTGCCATTTAATGTCACATTACCACAGAAATAAGATAAATCTGTGGGAGCTTCAAGTGTACCATTTCTGATTGTAAAGCCGTTACTATCATATTTAAGATTACTCATAGAAAAATAACCACCGGATAGAGTTATGTCAAAAGTAAGTGATTTAGCTGTACTAGATTTTAAATTTACATTAAATTTACTTGAACTGGTGTTAGTAATATCCATTGAGTTAATTATAATATCCTCAGCTGTATTACCATTACCGCTTACATATGACAATTTAGTCCAAAATATTAGAAATTGTGCATAGTTACGGAACATAGTACCAGAAGGAGCGGCATCACGTCGAACACGTTTTTGAGCAGCAGCAGCAGCGGTTTTTGGGGATGACATATACAAATATACAGTGGGGCATTTAGTGAGCTTGGTGATAGCAGATATGGCAGCATCTTAACATAAAAAATTTATGCATTTTTATATATTAAAATTATTAACAACTTTAAGAGATTTTCTTACCATGTGATTCGAGTGCAGCAGCACGTTCGCCCAATGAGTTTTCAAAGTTCACAAGCACTACTTTTCCAGCTTCGCAGCTAATTGGAGTTTGTAGTTCACCAGTTTTAGTCACATAATTATTTTCCTGTTTCTTGCTAATTGCACGTAATGCGTCACTAGGATTTTCAACATTAGCGTAAAAAGTTTTTTGGGGCACGCCTTGCAAATGTGCATAACACGATTGTGATGTTTTTTCATTAGCACACAAAAAGTCACTATTTGCCAACTAACAAAAGTAAAAAGTTAATGTAAAATTTTTATAATAAAAGTTATATAAAACACTTACATTTTCTTCTTGGAAAGCAACAATCATGTGATCAGCTTGGTAGGGTGCAATAATTTTACCAAATTCATCTGTATTTATTGTTTGCAGCGCTGGCACCACAGGACTTTTCAAACGATTTAAAATACAAATACATATTTACAATTTAAATACTACTTAATACTGTATATAAGAATTTCTACACTCACCTGTTGGCTCCCCATAGAAATACGGGTGAGATCTCTGCCGAGGCAACACCGATGACGCACAAAAACGTCGCAATTAACGTTCTCGCCAACATTTTAACAAAATTTCACTTCTTTTGCAAATTTAAACAAATTGTATTGCAAATTAAAACGAAATGAAAAAGTTAAGACAAAAACAAAAGGAAATTATATGGAAAATGAAAAATAACTCAGCCACTTATTTCACTGTCCCATGAAAATTTCAGTCCACGGTCTGTCAAAACGAAAAATCCCTCATGACAGTCATGTGACAAAGATCGTCATGTGAAAAAAATAGTGGAACGCGATGAAATGAAACGAAATAGCCCACAACACCAAAGTTGTTAAATGCCATTGTAAAATTTTTAACGTCTGTTATTCGAAATATGTAATCTGTAACTCATTTATTTATATAAAACCAAAACTTAATCATAAAATATATATTATTCAAACAATTGTGATGATTAAAAACCAATAAGAAAATATTATTTGGTAAAATTAATATTTAATAACAATTTTTTAAGGAATGACTAGAAAAATAATACAAACAAAAGCACCGAAATCTATTATAATACTCAAGCTCTCTATAATAACATTGCTACTGATTTAATTCGTATCTAAAAAAAAATAATATGATATATATTAAAATCAAAAATTAATGCCTAATAACAGTTCTAAATAAAAATGTGAATATGATTACGTTTGTAGCATCTCGCGGTTTCTCTATTTTGAATTAAGGACGTGTGCGAGTTAGGCTAAGTTGCGTTCTAAATGAGGGAAATTCTAAGATGAGCCGATAATGTATGATGTGTCGATACGTGTTGATAAATGGCTAAATGTGTGCAGTGCAAAAAATCCACCATTTGTGACGTGTGCTAGTTAGGCTAAGTTGATGCTAAACCAGATGGGAGATTTTTTAGGATTTTTTGCACTGCACACATTTAGTCATTTATTAACACGTATCGACACATCACTACATTGTCGGCACAAATTAAAATTTCCCTCATTTAGAACGCAACTTAGCCTAACTCGCACACGTCCTTGGTTTAGCATCAACTTAGCCTAACTCGCACACGACCTAAGTGCATTTTTTGGACTCACAGAGTAGGTGGTTCGAATATAGCCAAGTATTCATATTAATTGTCTTTGAAAGTATTTATTTTTATTATACATATAAATAAAATAATTATTTATGACATTTGTTATATTATTATATAATGTGTAGTTGTTATAGATATTCTCGAGTATTCATATTAATTGTCTCTGCAAATAATTATTTTCATTATAATTATAAATAAAATAATTATTATATAATTTATATTATATATTATTATATTATATTATATTCATTATATCATATCTATTATAAAAATATGTTTATTTTTCTAATATTTGAAAGCACAGCATTGCACTTATAGGAATCTGATTATAACAATTTCTTTAAGTCAAAAATTATATTTACGCATATATTTATTTTTCTATCAATATTATAATCATTTCACAACAATAACTTAATTGAGAGAAATGTTTAAATAAATTGATTAAAAAAAAAATAAAGAGGTTTTCAAAAAGTAGCAAACTACAACAACAAAACGTCATTTTTATATTATTTTAATTAATTGAATTTTCGGCTGACCATACAGCTGTTTCGAGTATTTCCAAATACCCAACCAAAGAATACTTGTACAAGAACGGCAACTTAAATGTAAACAAAAAAAACCAACCAATACACTCTCAAAATAATTTACTACTACCAAACCAAGCACGTTGTTTTGTTGTTGCAATTCGACCCACCACGACTGAAAAGTTTCACCATCCCGAACGGAACGTTTCATCACCACGAACGGTCTTAATTTTTTTTATTACGAAAGAGCAATATGAAGAGCGCAAATTGGGTTTTGTTTAGTTATTTTGACAGGAGAAATGCGCCAATAACTGAAAAACGTAGTCAAATCAAACTGAGTTATAAAAAGTAGTGAATAAGTTTCTTTGAAAAAATAATTATATTTATTATAATTGTTATTATAGTAAATTATTATATATTATTATTAATATTTGAAGATGGTGCGAAATTGCGTGATGGGATGTAAGTTATTTAAGGGAATGTATGAATTTCCTAAAAATGACGAAAGAAGGTAAAAAAACAATAATTTATTAATTGTGGATTTAAAATATATGTTTTGTGTTTAATGTGATTTGTTTGTTTTGATGTGTATAAATACAAATTAGTAAAGCAAAAATATATGTGAGTATATATTTAATATATTTTAATAAAGTTGTGCTATGTGTTAATTTGTGTTTGTTAAATATGTGAAAAATCCAATAAGAAATAAAAAAAAAAAACAAAAATTGTAAACAATTTTTTGGTGGTAAAAAGAGTGGAGTATGTAAATTATATTTGTATAGACTTTTAATATTATTTCATTTATTATTAATTGAATTCAACAATTTTATTTCTAATAAAATACTTTTATGTAATAAAATAACTTTTAATATGTTTTCTAATTAACAAATTTTACTATTTCATTTGTTCATGTTAAAAACACTGAATTGAATTAAATCGTATATTTCTTGGGACTGCTTGAAATTAGAAAATATAAATTTTTGATAATTTTTGTCAAAAATTGAGGTTGCTTATTTTGCGTTATTAATATTTTGTATTTTGTTGTTTTCTGTTTTCTGTTTTATTTTCAACACTAATTGAATTGCCTTATAACATTTTTTTTAAAAATTATTCTTTTTCTGGAATAAGAATTGTGTATTATAAAAAACATATTAATTTATTATAAAAAATTTTAATATGATATTTTCTTAAAGTTTTTTTCGTTTAACGGCTTTAATGCATTTTTGATCCGGTAATCTTAAACAATTATTTTCGGGTATATCGCAAGTGCATTTTCTATAAAAGTGATGCATGGCAATAAAGCTTAATATATATGTATGTATATATAACTATAACTATATACTATATGTAGTAAATAAAAAATATTTTGCATGAAGCATCTTTTCAGCTAACCCTCATTGTGTATCATTTGTTACTTGTTACTTCACTTGTGTTTTCTGAATAAAAATTCACATAATTTCATGTTATTATTGTAAGATTATTTTTCAAAATTAACTACTATACCACAATTTTATTTTTTTTATTAAGCAAAATACTATAAATTTGTTTTTAATTTTGTTTTTAAATTTTAATTTTTTACATGTAAAGATATTATATAATATTTATAATTTACAATTTCTAGTCCCAGATTTTAATATCATATTGATCATATTTTTAGTATATTATTTAAAAAAGACAATTTCTTTTCTATTAAATTATTGTTATTATTATTTCAATTCTTAAAAA